AGCCTTTCGACATAAGCTACTATTCCATACGAACACAGATATGCATTTACGTATATCGGCAAAAAAAAACAATTCAGAGAAAAATTAAGTAATTGTCTGAAGGCAGTTAAAATATTTAAAGCTTAATTGCACTGCTAACAGAAATTATATTCTATTTGAATAAATAAATCAAATTATAATGAAATGGGCCATAGTCCTTTCGGGCAAATTCACTGAAACGACTTTTCCCGTCACATCCATCAAGAGCTCGTACAATTTTTCTTGTCAAAGAAAATTTCCCTGTGTAACAAAGGGTTTTTGATAAACGATAATAAAAATAATAATGGTTAAGGCTTCCTCAAGTGGGCCCAAATTCACCAAGATTAATATTTTTCAATGATATTCAGGCAACACCGAGTTTTGAAGTCGAAAAGTACACTGTGTAAATTTTGTTGCAATATTCCAAATAGATTTTTTTTAATCAACAATTGAAAAATTTTTGTAGTGTTTTGGAAATTTTTATTTTACTTTGAAATTAATAGTCCGAATGAAAAAATTTTTTGGGTGCAGATTTAAAAAACATTAAACTATACAATAAAAAATAAATTTTTTTTTTTGCATTTCAAAAATTTTTTCATGAACAATTGAACATTTAAACAATTTCTGCGCCTCGTGGACGAAAATTTTTAACAACAACTTATGTAATAAACATTTCTGCATTTATCTAAGAAAAAAATGCGTGCATTTCTGCACCCAAAAAATCTGCACGCAAAAACTTGTTTCATTCAGACACTTACTTTCAAAGAAAAATAAAAAATTCCAAAACACAGAATAATTTCTATTATTGATTAAAAAAAACTATTTGGGATTTTGCAACAAAATTTACACTGTGTACTTTTCGACTACAAAGCTCGGCGCTGCCTGAATATCATTGAAAAATATTAATCTTGGTAAATTCAGGGCCCACTTACTCTAATGGGATAATTCATAACCTCTAACTGGCGGTTTCACGAGAGCAATCTAAGTAACAAATCTGTCAGTTCCCATATTAAATTCAAAAAAAAAAACCATGTTTCACTTAAATTTATTTCGTGAGACTGGCTATTTTAGCCAGAATTCGCTAGCAATGAAAATTAAAATGCATAGTTCAAAAAAACGAAACTTATGTACATGTATATAACAGGTTGGCGCTTACACATATTTTAGTGTTTGGTCGAGCTTCTTCTCCAATTTGTGGCGTGCGCCTTGATGTTGTCACACAAAGGGGAGGGACCTACAGCTTTACGCCGACTCCGAACGGCGATTGTATTTTTATGAGAAGCCATTTTCATGGCAGAAATACACTCGGTGGTTTGCCATTGTCAGCCGAGGGGCGACCGCTGTTAAAGAAAAACTTCGAGATCTGCCAATTCGTATGGAGTTATGTTTTGCTTGCATAAAAGGGGAAATACACGACACCAGCTTGCTGTGAGTATCGAGTGATTTTACCATCAAGTTCGAAGCATATAACATCCAGCATACTGGTACAATATTTATTTTTTTACAAATGAGGACCGGAAAATATCGAAATGAGTAGAAGCGAAATTTCATAATATTTCTACCATTTGGTTAAACATCGGCTTTTTATTTTACAACTGCAATACTATTAACTTTAATGTACCACAAACACGGCTTTGACTCATATAATGTAAGAAGTTTAAGCCAAAATACTTTTTACTTAAAAAAGGGCTAATCTCACCATTCAAAACACCATAATGCTGATACAATCATAAAAATATCAAATCGTTTTTGATGTCACGCCAGCAGCTGGTACAATCACACCACAAGGCCATACACTGTCAATCGGCTGGCACCAACACTTGATGGCGCCAGCATACTGGTATCTTGTATGTGCCCTTTAAGCCAAAATGCTATTACCGATTTTTTTTTTAAATTTGAAGAAAATTGGCTTACGAAGGTTTTTTCTCCCTTGTAAAACTTGAAAAAAAAACTGGAATTAACATGTTTTAATTCTAGGCTAGCGATATTCTTAATGCTTAATTTTCCACTTTTCCCCCTCCCACAGGTATTTGTGCAACTGCAACGACCTTCAGATGGAGCTGTCAGCGATCGTGTGAAGTTTGAATATGTGCCGGCGGAATCGGGTAGGTACTCTATAGAGAATTTACGTCGTATGCTCAAAAGGAAGCCTGACGAAGACATATTTGAAGAAATATTAGCCGCAGCTGGCGCGATAAAACCAGCTGTTTTAGAGGTTATAGATTTAAATACGCCGACCGCAGCTCCACACCAGGAGGTGGATCAACTTTTTAATAATGCAATCATAGTGGAAGCAGAAGAAGCGGACAAACGGCGAAGGGAGAATGAAATCGATGCGATTATAGACGAAAAAGTACGCGAGCTGGAACAACCAGATCAACAACAGCTGAACCAAGCACAAGTGGGCCAACAATATGTAGAGCTGCAACAAGCTGCAGCGCCGCAACAAGTTCAAAAACAGCCAGAGGAGGTGCAAGCGGGTGTAGCACCGCAAACCGTATTTCCCGTATCAGAACAACAGCAAGTGATCTCTGTTAACGAAAAAATCAATGAGTGGATGAAATCCAACGACTTGCAGCAGAACGAAGGTTCGCCACCGCCCGACGGTGCGGCTTCTATAGCCTCCATCGATGAGGATAAGGTGCTTACAGCGCTTTTGGATGAGGCCGCCGAACTCGATGAAATCTACACGCGTCATGTCCTGCATCGTGACACATACACTGCTAAGCTCAGTGAAGTAAATGATGTTAAAACTAAACAGGGTGCTCAGAGATACCCGATGGAGGTAGATGACAGTTTTGATGATGCGGCCACGTATAGTAGTTTACAGAAAGCTTTTAAAAACCCAGTAGATATACCATTAGACGTTTTGATGCCACCTACCCCACCAGCCTCACAACTTGCAACAGAGGACGCATTACATTACGATCATGTAGACCATTTCGCATTGAGTGCTGATGCCGCCGTTGCTGCGCTGGAGCAGCTGCCAATGCTACCGCTCAACCAACCACGAAGCCAACAAGCGGCTTTACCGCCACGTCCAAATTCTTTGAAATATCCATCACCTCAACTGCATGTGACTGCAGCCGAGGAAGAGAAATTGCCACCCTTACCACCAAAACGTATACGCAAGCAGGATGGTACGACGGTGGAAAATCGAGCGTTTGAGGCCAATGCTGGCGAAGCAGCAGAGAGCATATCTCGCTCGCCTGCGCCGATCATCATCAAAAAGACGCCCGACCAATCGCCACTTTCAAAACGTTTGCCCCCGAAACCTAACAATCCAAGTAATTCAAACACCTTACCGAAGCAAAAGAAACCAGGTTTCTTCTCGAAGATCTTCTCCCGCCGTAAAAGTAAATCAGATCTAAGTCAAAGTGGTCAGGTTTCCGGCTCCAATTCCAAGGGAACCACACCGAATATGAGCCGCGAACCAAGTATTGCTCACTTCCGTCTGAACGATCATAATCGCGCTTCAGTTAAATCACTACAACCGACATCTCTACCGACAAGCCCCAATAAGGGAGCCAAGCCAAGCCGCCCAGTGGGCCGCAGTGTAAGTAGCGTTTCCGGTAAACGTCCACCACGTCTAACCGCCGACGTCATACACATACCACTGAAAGGTGACAGTGTAAATAGTCTGCCACAGAATGAGGCCTATTCGCACGCCAGTACGGTAACTCTGAGTAATACACTCGATCGAAAAACTGTATCCGCCTTGCAGCTTGCAGATATTCCAATATGTGAGGGTAATATGGAGCTGGTAGCCATAGCAGATCGCCAAAGCTTGCGTAATCTATGCGAGGGGGCCTTCAATGTCCAACTCGATCCCGATGTAGATTTAACAGAAGCGGAACATTTCGCTTTGTACACTAGCATACCGCCCCAGGCGTCGACAATCGAGTTTGATGAAGCCTCGGCTTACTACGCAGCTGTCGACGCGGGCGAAATTTTGACTCCCGATGAGATCGGTAGGCGGTTGGCGGCAGCGAACAACATCAATTGAAAGGGAGTAGTTTGCTCTTCTAACTAGAGCTTGGTTACTTTTAAATAAAATTTTTCTTGAGAAAATATGTTTTTTTGGCCGTATTTATACGGAATTTGTGAGCAGCGTAAGAATTATAGCGACTTATAAGAGTGTGGAAGGCAGTACGTTGTTTATTAGCCAATTTGTATCTTCCTGCAACCACTTTAATTAGCCAATTTTTGAATTAAAAAAATGAAATGTTTGCTGGTTTAATGGAACCGCTGTTCCAAAGCAGCCAAGCACAAATGTTTGTTGTAATTGTTTTTTGTATCGATAAATACCTTTAACTGGTATTTTGCCCCAATAAACCTTGGAAGGCTCATATGTACATACATAGTATGTATATGTATATACATACATATCTACGTTTGCATGTATAAATCAATTTTAATTGAAATAAAGCATTTTGTTTTGACAGTCGTAGGCGGAAAACGTCCCTTGGACTTCGTTACTAAAGCTGAATTTGCATGCGTTTGTACAACGCTTTTTATAAATGACATTTGTCAAAGGAAACGTCACTCATAGAATTTTGATAAATGCAGTGCGTTGAAAAAGAAATTTTAATACTAGTCATTACAACGTCATTCTTAGACTTAAAAATAAGAAACGAAAATTGTTAAAACTATATATTGTACTTACAAAAGCATTGGATAACTCTAAAATTTTTGCAAAAACTATGTACACTATTGTAGTCAAGGTTAAAAAAAACTTACCTATTTATAAATTTGAACTACTATATATTTAATTTTAAGATTTGTTTAGCTGAGATTTTGAAGTCATGTATGTATGTATATGAATTAATTAACGAAATACGTAAAAAGTATTTTAAGAGCCCTTTTTATTGCGATGTACCAGTAGAATTGTTTTATATGGTGAAGATAATAAATTGAAAACTCTTTTGCTTATAGGACCAGAGGAATTAAGACGAAAACGTCAACGGACTGACGGTGATTTAATGCATTCTTCGCTGCAACAGCAACAAAAGAAGATCCAAAGTGATCATCCAGGTGGTCGTAAGTGTAATTTCCACTTTTGCTCGTCTAGTCTACTATTCGGCGATTGATATTGATTAGTTGTGAAAGTATTGATATTGGTACTGGTTATGATATTGGTTGTGGGGCAGAGTATGGTTAAGAATATCGAGCCCTAACCCCGAACCATTTAGGGCCGATTCTTCAATGTCTGTTCATCACTACCTCCCAGATAAACAACATTATAGACGTTTTCGTCATCATTCATATACTAGCATGGGATCGATAAGGCAATCGTTGTATTTAACCGGAGATTCTAGCTCCGGTTTGTGTTAACTTGACATTGAAAAAACGACCCTTAGATGCTCTATGAGCATTTCTGCATCAAAAAGAAACTATTGAAACGAAAATTCCCTTACTTTATGTTGGGGGTTAGGGCTCGATATACCGTCAACGTCAATGCATATGGCCCTTCTTGACAATTTTGAAAATTGTAAGGAGAAGCAAAAAAAAGGTGTCATGGGGCATTTTGCATCTATGGTGACAATATGTATGTATATATATTTATAGCTATACCATTAATAGTATTGCTGGTCTTTATCCATGCCATTAATATTAGTAGATTAAGGGTAAATTTCTTACTTTTGGTGGTGGTCAAGTTACACAATCTATATACTTCTCATTCCCCTGAAAGCAATTGTACCAGATCAGAAATAGTCACATACTTAACCTAATTTTCGTGGTTAGTACTGGTTCCAGTTCAATGCATTTTCCATGCAGACAACTGCGAAGTTAACACTGCGAATTGTTCCCTCTGCAAAACCTCGGACAATTTTAAACCTGTAAAATTGAGCAATTCAGTGCTAATTTAAACTTCAGGAAATAAAAAAAGTTATTTCAACACGCCATAAACAGTAGCTTTGTTTAAATGCGCCACCTATGGTTTAGCTCAGACCCAGTGGCCTTTTTGCAGTTTACTAAAAAATTTGAGGCACGTTAGGCCAAAACCGACTTCGGATTTGGATTCACTTATTTACACTTAAGTACTCGTATCTTAAAGCGTGTTTTTTTACACGCATATACATCCAAGGCAAATAAACAGAGGTAGAAGTATGGTACAATAATTACATGCATTGTCTTCCCAGAGAGCGCATATTCCGATCTGCCTTATTTAAAAAACATCATTGTTGCCCACACTAAAAGGTTTACTGCTATGGAATAGGGATACTTCCACAACCCATATACCATATATGTATGTATGTATCAGCTTCCGCATTAATTTTAACATTCGCATTTGCTTTCGCATTCGCGAAAATCAATGCCGATTTTTTGCGAATGCGAATATTGAAGGGACCGAAAATTACAGTTATTTTTTTTACGAGTTAAACTTGGCCAAATATATTTTATTCCGAAAGTACTTTCCAGATAATAAACAAACCGCTTATCCAAATAAAACAAGTTTGGTATCCAATGAAAGAGGATTTAAATAGCTTTAAAACTGAAATGTCTCAAAGAGGAAAGCCACACATTGAAAAATATTTCAATAAAAATGTTAATTAATTAACATAGAACAAACATTGGGTCGGGTATGTATTTACATGAATTTCTTTAGTATTAAGTTATAAAAAAATATAAATAGAGGTGGTAACCTTCATTCGTTATTTCTGTTTAAAAGCTATTTCAGTCCTCTTTCATATGATACCAAATTTGTTTAATTTGGATAAGCGGTTTCTTTATTATCCGGATAGGACTTTTATTTCGGAATAAAAATTATTAGGCCAAATTTAACTCGGAATAAAGTAACTGTTATTTTCAGTCTCTGTCACAGAAGAAAGCATTAAAAATGAGTTACAAAAACTAAATTCGAAAAACGCTGATGACGTGACAAATTCCGAAACAACCAAAAGAATGAGAATGAAGAATTCTTTCGAAAAAAAAACGGTGTTTAAACAACGATTGTGCCATGATGCTAGATTGTGAAGATGAAAGTCAGGAGGATACATCCGACATTTGCAGACCCGATGAAATTCTCAAAAAGTAATTATTGCACCGCAATAAAAATAAATAAATATAACTGAAAGTCCTCTCAACGGGTGCAGCGTCAATCGAAAAGAATTTACAATTTTGCCCATTTCAAGTTTGTCGCCTCGAGCGAGTAGTTATATAGTGGCACAGGTTTGATTTACGGCCCTTCAAGAAGTTTTTATTAAGTACAATCTTCCAATTTTTAAATTCAAGTACTAAAAAACATTCAGTCTTATCATGAGTTTAATTTTCCCCGAACGGGTTCACTTTTCACTTTTGGATTTCATGTACATATTTACAATGGGCGGAATACAAATTTTTTTTTTCGGGCAAAACTCAGGATAAGGCCGGTTATTACAAATTATTAACCTTTCCATTTTTTATTTACCTAAATTACCTAATTTACCCGCCAAAATTATTTCTTAAAAATACATGACATCCGCATTCGCATCCGCATCCGCGGATGTCTAAAATTCCACATTCGCAACATCCCTAGTATGTATTTACACTAGGGAGGTTAATTTTTTCGATTTTTGCGATCCCGGGATTTTCGGGATGTCGTTGGTTCAATCCCGGGATCAGTCCCGGGATTTAGATATTTACTATTTTTCAATGACTTAACATGAAAAAATCGCATCAATATGGTTTGAGAAGCTCTCCTACCATATCGATAGCTGAGTGGAAGATCGACCTATCTCGGCAGCCAGTTCGAAAACGCTCTATCTCAAAAAACTTTTCAAGAACGCCCTATTTCAGAATTTAATTTAAAAACACCCTATCTCAAAGTTCAGTTCAAAAACGCCCTATCTCACTTAAAAATGTATTGAAAATATGCTGATATAGGGCGTTTTTGAATCGGCAGCTGTGATAGGGCGTTTTTGAAACGAACTTTGAAATAGGGCGTTCTTGAAAAGTTTTTTGAGATAAAGCGTTTTCGAACTGGCTGCCGAGATAGGTCGATCTTCCACTCAGTCATCGATGTAATAAGTAAATGGGTTTGTAACGTACCTTTTTATTTAAAGTGAAAATTATTTCATAAGTAACAAAACGACAGACAGTAATTAAATTTATGTGCATTTAATAATACTTTAGTGTGTACATATCTGATGGAAAAAATAAGCCAAAAAATTTATTTTCTGGTTGAAAGAAATTCATAATTCGAGTGGCAGAAATAAAAGAAGCGCCTTAATTCGGCCAGTTTCGTCTATATTCCCTTTGTTTATCCTAAATTTATATTTTTTATAAATGTCTACTTCATGTTACACATAATTACAGTGGCGGGCAAAAATGGATGAATGTTGTTTCGTTTTTAATATTTTCAATGTTTTTCAAGCTAAAATTTTTTTGATATTTTTATATAAAAATATGGTTCTTGCTTTAACAAAAACTATATAAATTTTATGTGGAAAAATATGCGCAAGATCTTTTGCGGTAAAAATAAAAAAAGTCAAGGCCTGTTTTTCTAAATTTCGCTTTTTATGTGAAAAAATCCGAAAAAGCCGTCGGCAAAAAAAATGATTAAAAATCAATGCGATTTTTTAGCTTCACAAAACTTGCACTTATTTTACTAGAATTATATAAGCTCGTTAACTGCATACCCAAAAAAATTCTGGTTAAAAAGCTCGAAATTCAGATAAAAATTTATGGAATTTTTCTAAGTTTTGTATAAAGTTTGAAAGTGTCATTTATATAGTTTTTGTTAAAGCATGAACCATATTTTTATATAAAATTATCAAAAAAATTTTAGCTTGAAAAACATTAAAAAAATAATAAAAAACGAAACACCATTCATCCATTTTTGCACGCCACTGTAGATAAAAAGACTTTATCGAGTCCTAACCGCCAAAATAACGTAAGCGACATTTTTTTCACAATTTTCTTTTCGATGCAGAAGTGCATCTAGATGCTCTAGAAATATTTCTGCATCAAAAAGAAAAAAAATGTGGCTTACGTTAGTTTGGCGGTTAGGGCTCGATATGGTTAATTCCAAAATTTATTTTAAAAAATTCAATGCAATGTAAAACAAAAGTATGGGTACTAAATGAAATAATTTTTTTGGGTGGTTCACAAGGACGAATAGGAATTAAAAATGCCCCTTTAATCTATTTTATTTTTTTAAGCTAATAATGTTAGTCCTTCACATATAATTTTTTCAAAAATAAGAATTGAAAAATTTCAAGGATATTCAAGGATAAAATTATAAAAGAGTATTTTCAATACCTACCCGTCCCTTACGGATCAAAAAATGTAATGTGTTCTAACTGTACCGAATCTTCTCTTTCATTTGATACCTAACTGGTTTCTTAAGTATATTGCACTGAAATTTTTAAATAATTTTTTGAATTACTCATATCTTTCAAATTTCAAAGTTCTCTTTCAAAATCCTGACGTCAGAGAGAAAAAATAAGAATGCAATTTTACTACATTTGGCCCTTGGTTTGGCGAATATATTAATTTTTTGTGTGTGCACAATTGGTATTATATGTATATTGAGCTACACATTTATAAAAAAAATTTAATATTAAATAAACAAAAGAAATGTAGCCAAAACTGGTCAACATAAAGCGTTTCTATTATTGCCACCAGTGTAAACTACAAATCCCGGAAATCCCGGGATTCTAGACAAATAATCTCGGGATTTTCGGGACTTAAAAAAAATCGGGATCCCGGGATTACCATTCCTAATATACACGTATTTCTTAAACAGAACAGAACAGAAGACTTATTTAATTTGCAAAAGCCGAAAAAAACATTTGCTTAGTAAATAAATTAAAAATTTGTATGCTCACTTCATTTCAGACGTTTCTTATTTTGTTTTGAAAAACTATAAAAATGAAATTGAGCGAAAATAAAAAGCAAAGCCAAATAAAAGTAAAAGAATCAACATTGAACTCCGTCAAAATGAAAATAAGGGAGCACGAATTTCGTTGTGAAGCAAAACTCTCTGGGAAGACAATACCTGTAATTATTGTACCATGCGTGAATGGTTTAACGTCAAGTTTTCGGGAGAGTAAAAA